GTGGATGTAGAAGTCCCCCCTCTGCTGTAAGAGTCCCTAAGAGCACAGCGTGGATGTAGAAGTCCCCCCTCTGCTGTAAGAGTCCCTAAACGCACAACGGTGGACATAAGCTTCATTAGCATAACGTACGTGTGTATAGGCATGTTTTCTGAGTGCTTGTGGGCAACTTCATGCTTGCTTAGCACAGGTGATGGTGACTCCCCCTCTCAATGTTCCTCCCAAACCCTGAAACTCACCCCTATCCGGGGAGTCCTGGCTTTGCACATCACTCCCTGTGATCTCCGGATTTGTACACACGAAGATGACCTTGTGAGGTGCAGAAGTCACTGAGGGCTGGACGCACTCTGACCCGGGAACACGGGGAGGACTCCACGTTCCCCAAGCCCGGGGCACCAGGCCTGAGCGTAGTATGCTGCAGCAGACTCGTACAAATGGGTTTCCAGCCCACAGTGTGGTTACCGCAGGAAAGACCATATAAAACAGATGCAGCGTGTCACCCTGTGGATGTACTTCATGTCACCGAATCATGCGTGTAAAAATAGTTCAAATGGTCCTTTGCTGCTTCAGAAAACAAAAGTAGGGGCGCCTGGGTGGCTCAGTCAGTTAATCAAACTCTTGATTGCGGCTCAGGTCATGATCTCAGGGTTGCGAGATGGAGCCCCGCGTCAGGCTCAGCGCGGAATCTACTTGAGAGTCTCTCCCTCTGCCCCTCCCCCTGCTGGCTCTCTAAATAAATAAATAAATAAATAAAAGTTTTTAAAAAAAAAATTTAAAAAAAGATAGGGACGCCTGGCTGGCTCAGTCGGTTAAGCGTCTGCCTTCGGCTCAGGTCGTGATCTCGGGGTCCTGGGATCGAGCCCCGCACCGGGCTCCCTGCTCAGTGAGAAGCCTGCTTCCCCCTCTGCCTCTGCCGCTCCCCCTGCCTGTGCGCTCTCTCTTTCTCAAATAAATAAATAAAATCCTTTAAAAAAAAATTAAAATTAAAAAAACAAAAGAAAAAACGATTTGCTGAGATTGTGAGCACCTCTCCCCCAAGGCCCCTCCCCAAATAATGGAGCTGTCGCCGTTTCAGGGTCCACTTTACTTGGGCATGAAATAGATTAGGGCCGCAGGGAAGGGGGCGGGTGCACAGGAGGGTAGGCTGGGATCATGGAGGCCGGCGGCGGATGTGGGTGTCCACAGACAGCTGTCCTGTGGCTCCAGCCGCACGGGCACCTGCAGACAGGAGTCCAGAAGCCTGGGCTTCCCCTCCAATCTGGTGGGGCCTTGCTGGAGGGCAGGGGGTGCCTGGGTCCGTCCGGGCCCCTGGTCAGTTGGTCTTGAGCCTGGGGCTCTGGAAGGCTGACAGGGTGATGAGGAACTGGGCAGCATAGTAGGTGGTCATGACCAGCAGGCGGGCGTGGGGCAGCGGCTGGGCGAAGGTGTCCCAGGCCAGCACCATGTCCGAGAATGTGAAGAGCAGGACCCCCCAGCGGATGCTCCCGCCCCGGGCCAGGCCACGCCACAGCACGGAGGCCAGGACCAGGGAGTAGGCTGCCAGGGCCAGGGCCATGCCGGTGGGGAGGTGGAGTAGCAGGATGCTGGAATACAGCACGCAGACCAGCGCGATGGGCAGCAGGAGGGCTGGCCGCAGGGGAGTGAGGCCAAAGGCCCAGAGGTAGAGCAGGTGGGCCATGGCGAAGGCAGCCACGCCTAGAGGAGACAGGACCTGTTGCTCCCACGAGGCCACCTCGCAGCTCAGAGCCTGAGGGCAAGGACTGCCCCGAGCAGCAGTGTCCACCCTGGCTACACCGCCCGCATCGGCTGGGATTACCGTACCGGCCTCCCTGGGGCAGGCTCCCCTGTCCCTGCCCTTGGCACCAGAGTGACCTTAAAAGGCACACTGCATTCCATCCTTACTCGGCTTACAACTCCCCATTTTGCTCTGTTCCCCACTTGGCTCCACCCACCCACCCGTGCTGACTACCCCCGGGCCTTTGCACTTGCTGGCTCCCTGCCTGGACCGTCCCTCCTCCCATGGCTCCTGCACTTTCTTCAAGACGTTACCTCCTTGGTGAGGCCATCCTTGACCAGCTACTCAAGACTGCGACACCCGAAAGCCCCCCTTCCTGTCCCTCCACGCCACTCACACCCTCTAAGGCTCTGCCGCCCAACCCCCCCAGGGGAAGGAGGGCTCTGTGAGAGCGGGGGTCCCCGTCCGGGTGGGGGTCCACAAGCGACCATGCATCTCCGCTCACCATGGAGGAAGGCGTCGGGCCAGATGAGGCAGGCATCCCCCACAGCCGAGCACAGAAGGGCCCCCTGCAGGAGTGTACGGTAGCGTCTGCCCCAGCGCTCGACCTGCAGGGACGCCGCCAGGCACACCACCGGCAGGCACTTGACCAGGGCGCTGACCCAGGACGGCTGGTCTTGAGGGATCCAGAGGAGGAAGTAGACGGCACAGGTGAGGAAGAAGGGGCTCAACCGCCGGCACAGGCGCAGCTGCTTTGGGAGACAAGGGGGTCACCGAGTCCCTGGAGCCCAGCCAGCTCCCGGCCCCTGGGGGGCAGGCGCCACGCGGCCAGGACTCAGGTCGTGGGGCTTCCACTGCACCCCCACCCGGGAACCTGACTCACTGTCCGCGGGGAACCCAGCCTCCTGAGGGCAGGGCCCCCAGTTCTGGCAGGCTGCTCAGGTTCCCTGGAGCGCAGGCCTAACCCCCTCCCACACCCGGCGTCTCTCACTTGGGCTGAGAAGCAAGGCTTTCCGGGCAGACCCTCTTCCCAGGCGTCCATGTCGGCCTCTGACCCCCCAGAGTGGCACGTATGTGGGCACGGGTGGCTTTGGGAGTGGAGGGGAAAGCGTGTGGTTACACGTTAACCCGAGGAGCGTCCTGTGGACTCTGGGGCTGATAACAGGGCCTGGGGAGATGGCCCTGGGGATGGCCCCGCCTGACACCACTGATAAGGTGCCCCATGGGGACACAGGGGTCCCCCCTTTCTCACGGCACCCTGCCCCCGCCCCCCAGACCTGGCTTCCCCCTGGCTGCCAGGGGATGTGTGGCCATAAATGCCCCTGCCAGCGTCCCATGCCCAACCAACCAGGAGGGACCCGGTGCAGGAGTCCTACAACCCTCCCCTGCGCCTGGGACTCTGGGACAGAGGAGCGCCATCAGCCCCGGGCTCAGGTCAGCAGCAGGACCACCGGGCCGGAGTACGGGAAAGGATGGAAACTCCCCAGGCCCCTGCCCACCCACTGTCCCCCCAGCAGGTTGCCTGGGGGTCCTTCCTGTGACCTGGCCCTGCTGTCCTCAGCTCTGGCCATCACTCACTCCCCAAGGCGGCCTCCACGGACCCTCCTGAGGGAAAACGTGCCAGTGCTGAGTCGTACAAGGGCCTCACTGCGCACTGGCCGCGGCTTTGCAAGCACATCCTGCAAGCGCACTCAGCCCGTCTGTAACTCCTGGTTTAGCAGGAAAGGGTTTACCAAGTGCCCAACTATACTGGTGGGCTGGCCACCCCCAGGCAACCCAGTGCTCCACCACCACGGGAGACGAGGCTCAGGGGACATCACTTCTGCAAGGTTGCCCAGCCATGAAACCCTCCCCAAGACTGGAGGCTGGCCTGCCACCTCCTGGAGGGTGTATGGACCTGGGACACATAGGGCTGAGGGCACAAAAGGGACCTCAGGAAACAGCTCGTGGGGACCAGGCCCCAGACAAGACTGGGCAGGAGCTGCTCCTCCACCCAGGACATCCTTTCCTGGTCTGAGCACAAGCGACCCACCCTCAGCAGAGCACGGAGATCCAGGAGCCTAAGAGCTCTCTGAGGGCCACACACAGGGGCTGAGGAGCCCCGAGGCCAGGGTGCAGGGACAGCTCAGGCCCCCATCCCCACGTCCCAGAACTCAAAGCCCAAGGCCAGGGAGCAGGGACAGCTCGGGACCCCAGCCCCAGGTCCCAGAACTCAAGGACGCAGGAAAGGGTGCATGGGCAGCTGAGGTCCCCAGCCCCAGGTCCCAGAACTCAAGGCCCGAGGAGGCCAGGGTGCAGGGACAGCTCGGGACCCCAGCCTCATGTCCCAGAACTCAAGGCCCGAGGCCCCAGTGCATGGGCAGCTAGGGCCCCCTGACCCTCGTCCCAGAACTCAAGGACCCAGGCCAGGGTGCAAGAGCAGCTCAGGTCCCCAGCCCCAGGTCCCGGATATCAAGGCGTGAAGCCAGGGTGCAGGGACAGCTCAGGTACCCATCCCCAGGTCCCAGAACTCAAGGTCCGAGGCCAGGGTGCAAGAGCAGCTCAGGTCCCCAGCCCCAGGTCCCGGATATCAAGGCATGAAGCCAGGGTGCAGGGACAGCTCAGATCCCAGGCCCAGGTCCCAGAGCTCAAGGTCCAAGGCCAGGATGCAGGGACAACTCAGGCCTCCGGGCCATGCCCCAGAATTCAAGGCCTGAGGAGTCCAGGGTGCAAGGACAGCTCAGGTCCCCACACCAGGTCCCAGAACTGATGGCCCAAGGCCACAGTGCATGGGCAGCTCAGGTCCCCATTCCCAGATCCCATTATTCAAAGCCCGAAGCCTGGGTACAGGCACAGCTCAAACCCCAGCTCCATGTTGAAGAACAGAAGGCCCCAGGAAGCCAGGGTGCAGGGACAGCTCAGGCACCCAGACCCAGGTCCCAGAACTAAAGACCCGAGGAGTCCGGGGTGCAGGGACAGCTCAGGTACCCATCCCCAGGTCCCAGAAATCAAGGTTGGAGGAGGCCAGAGTGCAGGGAGAGCTGACCCTAGCCCCACAACCCAGAAATCAAGGCCTGAAGAGGCCAGCATGGAGAGACAGATCTAGCCCCCAGCCCCATGTTCTAGACTTAAAGGCCCGAGGCCATGGTACAGGGACAGCTCAGGCCCCCAGCCCCAGGTGCCAGAACTCAAGGCCTGAGGCCAGGGTGCACGGATACCTCAGGCCCACACTCCCACGAACCAGAACTCAAGGACCAAGGAGTTCATGGTGTAAGGACAAGTCAGGGCCCTAGCCCCACTTCCCAGTCCCATGGCCCGAGGCCCAGGTGCAGGGGCAGCTCAGGACCCAGCCCCAGGTCCCAGAACGCAAGGCCCAAAGCCAGGGTGCAAGGACAGCTCAGGCCCCAGTCCCAGGTCCAAGAACTTAAGACCGGGGTAGGCCAGGGTGAAGGGAAATCTCAGGCCTCCAGCCTCAGGTCCCATATCTCAAAGGCCGAGGAGATCAGGGTGCAGGAACAGCACAGGCCCCCAGCCCCAGGTCCCAGATGTCAAGGTCGAAGGAGTCAGGGTGCAGGGACAGCACAGGTCCCCAGTCCCAGGTCCCAGAACTCAAGGCCGGAGGAGTCCATGCTATAAGGACATCTCAGGCCCCTAGCCCCAGGTCCGGAACTCATGGCCTGAGGCCAGGGTGCAGGGACAACTCAGGCCCCCCAGCCCCATGTCCCAGACTCAAGGCCCAGGCCAGGGAGCAAGGACAGCTCAGGCCCCCAACCCCAGGTCCCAGAATTCAAGGCCCAAGGCCACAGTGCATGGGCAGCTAGGGCCCCCAAACCCACATGCCGGAACTCAGGACCCAGGCCAGGGTGCATGGGCAGCTCAGGGCCCAGCCCAGATCCCATTATTCATAGCCGGAAGCCAGGGTGCAGGGATAGCTCAAATCCCAGCCACAGGTCCCAGAACTCAAGGTCGGAGTGGCCAGGGTGCAAGGACATTTCAGGCCCCGAGCCCGTTTCCAGAACTCGAGCCCAAGGCGGCCAGGGTGCAAGGACAGCTCAGGCCCCCAGCCCCAAGTCAAGAAAGCAAGGCTCGAGGGGGCCAGGGTGCAGGGACAGCCCAGACCTGCAGTCTCAGGTCCCAAACTCAAGGCCCGAGGGCAGGGTATAGGGACAGCTCAAGCGCCCAACTCCAGGTCCCAGAACTCAAGGCCCGAGGAGGCCAGGGTGCAGGGATAGATAAAACCCCAGCCCCAGGTCCCAGAACTGAAGGCCTGAGGAGGCCAAGGTGCAGGGACAGCTCAGGTCCCCAACCCCAGGTCCCAGAACTCAAGGCCCAAGGCCAGGGTGCAGGGACAGCTCAGGCCCAGAACTCCAGGTCCCAGAACTCAGCCCCAGGGACCCAGGGTACAGGGCCAGCTCAGCCTCCCAGCCCCAGGTCCCAGAACTCAAGGCCCGAGGAGGCTAGGGTGCAGGGACAGCTCAGGTCCCCAACCCCAGGTCCCAGAACTCAAGGCCCAAGGCCAGCTCAGGCCCAGAACTCCAGGTCCCAGAACTCAAAGCCCCAGGGACCCAGGGTACAGGGTCAGCTCAGCCTCCCAGCCCCAGGTACCAGAACTCAAGGCCCGAGGAGGCCATGATGCAGGGACAGCTCAGGCCCCCAGCCCCAGGACCCAGAACTCACAGTCTGAGCAGGAATCTTAAACGGTCTTTATTTATTTATATTTGCAATATGAAATAGAAGCTCGGCACGAACACACGCACACTCACACCAGCCTGGGGAGAGGGAGCTGGGACAAGGTCACTTGGCAGCTGGGCTGGACCCCAGATCCTTGGGCATGGGAAGGGGACCCCAGCCGGACCCTTGCCAACCCCCCCGCCCCGGGGTCCGTGGGAAGTGCGGGGGGTGGGGGGGCGGTCTCAGTGAGTGCATCGGGGCCCCATGGGAATGTCACCTGGGAGACCCCCTTGGACGGGGACCGCCAGCTCCCATAGAGCCAACAGGGCCAGGCAGAGGGTCCTTTATCTCCCAGCCTGGGTCAAAGTGCAGGGTCCAGGGCAAGGGTTTGGGCAAAGGCACGGCCCGCACTCGAGCCCTCCCCGGAGGTGGGCCTGGGCCGAGTGTGGGTGTGGGCATCTGCACCGGAGGCTGGGGGCATGGTGGGAGGGGAGGGCAGACAAGGACCTTGGGACCCCAACACAGCCCCCACCGAGATGGGATGAAGGTCCCACCTGCTGCCTGCCCGGCCGGGCCTCCTCCCGGCTCTCCACCCACCCGCTCTCGCTCTCTCTCTCTAATATATAATATAGGTCTCTCTCTCTCTCTCTCCTTTCTCTCTATTCAATTCTGTTTCTTTATTCTAGGAGACAAAACTCCATAATTTCTTTTCTCAGTGCAAATGGGGGTGGGTAGGGGCCGGACTCCCTGGCACCTGGCTCCTGGGAGTCCAGAGGAGAGAACGTGGGGGCAGACGGGGTGGGGATGCGGTGATGGGGCAACAGGGCCATCGTGGGACCCGCCCTGCCCCCACTCGGGCAGGGTCCACGTGGAGTATGGAGGATTTAGCCGCCACCACCAGGACCAGGCAGTTACCTGGGAACCGAGAGGAAGACTCATGTGAGGAACCTGCTGCCCCGAGGCCCCCCACCTGCTCAGCCCCAGCCCACCTGCTACCCACCCAGCCCTTGCCACTCACTGGGAGCCCAGGGGTGCTGGCCCTCCCGGGGCAGAGCCGTTGGGCATCGGAGGCGGCTCGAGGGCCTGGGCACTGTCAGGGGAGAGGGACACAAAAAGTTCAGGGCCTCCGCCACAGGACACCAGCTGCCCTGGAAGGCCGCCCTGCGCTCACCTCTGGCTCTGGGGGAGCCCCGAGGGCTCTGGGCTCTTCTCCCCCTCTGTGGTCCGCGGGTGCTGGCAGGCCCCGGGGGCTGGGACAGAGGTAGCAGGGTCTCTGGTTGCACTGCGGGGGGGGGGGGGGTGCAGGGTTATCGGCACCGACACCCTCCTCACCCCTACGCCCCCTCGTGCCCGCAGGGAAGAGTGCTTGGCCCAGGACGGTCCGTCCCATCAGAGACCCCGGGAGCCACCGCAGGCAGGAGGAGC